TGTAAAAACACCCCTGGCCAAATGCCCCCAGAGGGCATCACTTCCCACTTTGATAATTACTGTAGTTACCATGTTCTGAACATCACATTCTTTCTTTTTCCCTCAGATGTAATCTATCTAGGTGGTTGAATAAAAATATTTGGACTTTATTTTTAAAAAATTAACTCAGTTTAGCTCCAGCAAGCTCGTTGGCTAGACAGTTAGCATCAGCTAACATTGACTTATTTTTAGCATGGTTATGAATAAACATTTATATTTGTCTACTCGGCTAGTTGATCATAGTAACTTAGGCTATGTGTGCTGACAAACAATTTAAAAACAGACGTCACATAGGGCTATAAATGCATAGCATTTTAGTAAAACTGCTAACGTTACAGCAGCGGGGAAGATGAACGTGCATGAGTTATTTTATTTTATCTGTGTTATTTTAATGTTTTTTGACCTAAAACATAGAGACTCTGATGTTAATGTGTCTGCATTCAAGCATTTCAGTGGGCTTAAACAGATCACCCTTTACAGCTGATTTAGTTCACAAACAACTGACAGCTTTGACCTAAATATGATTTTCATTTACAATAATTAGTACTAAAATTCGACATTAGTAACTTACTTTTAACAGCATCAGACGCGCACGCGCTCACAAGATCTCCCGGTTCTTACTTGTGAATTCAGTTATCTGGAGACTCGCACTAAACGGATCATTTGAATCAGTGAGTTGTCAACTCGAGAACAGCTGCAATCGGATCATTCCAATTCGTGAATGAATCGTTTGGTGCGATTTGTGAACCGATTTAACAGGTTAATTGAAAAGAATCAGTTTGTTCATGAATCAGACACTGCGTCTCGGAGCACGTGATACTGTATATTTTAAGGAGTAACGATATGTTTTATGAAATGTAGTGATGTAAAAAGTACGATCTTATGCTTTGGAATGTAGTGAAGTAAAAGTTACTCAAAATAAAACTACTCCAGTAAAGTACAGATACTTGAAAAATGTACTTAAGTACAGTAACGAAGTAAAACTACTTCGTTACTGTCCACCACTGCTGTTAAGTAGCGTACATGGCTTGGATATGTGATACTGTGAAGTATCAATGTGTACTGTGAAGTTCTGTCTTCTAAATGTCACTTTTGTTTAACAGTGAAGTGTTGAATCAATAGCAGGAGGCTAATATGCATACAG